CGTGTATAACGTAGCTTTTACTGTGGGTGGACACGCGCTAGCCTTTCTCTTTCATTCACTCACTCACACGTACCCTCTCTCTGTCAACATTGTACTCAAAACTTTGCTACCCTGTGGACCGGCCGATAGTAAGTGTGGCGACATATGTTGACGTGAAACTCCCTCAGCAATTCTATAATCAAATAATTAAACATTTAGCATAGCGTATAGAGTTAAAGCATAGGTCATACAGTATACACGAGATTTCTAATAAATGAACTAGCGATATTATATTACGCAATTTTCCTAATTGATATGTACATCTGCACATGTCCGCTAGCGTTAATAAAAACAGGGAATAATATATTTTAGGTTCGTGAATAAATTGAAGCAAATGTACTTCGAAAAATATGTGCAAAGATATTTATAGCAATCGCGAATGCCTGAAGTTAAATTTGCTTTTTTGAAATAAAAAAAAAAATTAAGGGTTTATTCTCAAGCAGAAATGATCTATCTATAGACATCGATTCGACATCGATTCAATGTCTATAGATGTTGAATCGACGTCTATGGACCGATCCTGTCTGCTTGGGATTATATAATTTCATACGCGCCTGTACATGCCGCTGGGCGGCATTAAGGAAGAAATAATTTAACGTATGAAACAACTTCCTCGTACTAAAAAATTATACACACGAAATATAGTAGAATACTTTAATTTTATGCTTTTATTTTAAAACAAATATATTAACTTTTGTAAAAGGAAATTTACATTATTTTATATTTTCAAGTCATTTTTTTATGCAAAAACCATTATGTTTATACCGCATGTATCTAATTAACTTTCTATGAATAATAAGATTACAAAGCACAGCAAAAGCATACAGAAAATATATGTTAGCTTTGAGAAAAAGCTTTAATTAAGTACACAATTTTCATGTTATAACTGACCAATTAGCTTGATATGCGCGAATGTTTTACGCCTGATTAATTAACGCCATAAAATATCTCATAACGATCCATTAAATAATATTTATCTGCTTATTAATATTATAAAATTAACTAACATGACCCCGATATAACAATATTCTTATCAAATGACGAAACGTACCATTGCATTAATGCCTGAGAATCCTTCAAGCGCTATCACCATTTTCCTTTCTCCGCAGATCTTGACATCTCACAAATGTGCATATCGCGCGCGGCAACCCCCAGATGGGAGAATAGGAGCGCAATAAGAGCGATAGTATTCGCTCTTATTGTGAGACGCCAAGTGCAAACGACAAACGTGATGGAAGTAAATCGTTCAAAGCACCTCATGTGTTTCGCGTAAGCTACCTACGATTAAATGGAGGTTTTACGAAAATAAAATGTGTCACGCTTGAGGATTTCACATGCCATTTCATTTCACACTCTTTATTCTAACTGACAATTTTCTGTTGCTAAACCTCACATTGTTGCATATACTCCCGGCTAACGATTTTCTCGAAAGTAATATTCTTAATGGCACGTAATGTTTTCCTGTTTTATCAAATTTTACACTGCATATCAGAGCGCATTTTTAATTTGTCTCGCTTTTATATCTATCAAATTATGCATTGCATAACTCGTACATATTTTAATTTTGTACAAAATCTAATCTTAATTTTTCTACAACTGCAATTATAATATATCGCCTAGTATACGCAAACAACGGATGTTGTCTATAATAAAAGAATGCGGTGAAATGAATCAGAGTTTCAATTTATTGAAAAGATAAGAGATAGTATGCTTCCATGAGATATATACTTTAAGTCACTTACTTCCATCAAATTTATCGTTTGCACTTGACTTCGCACAATGGCGTTACCGTTTCCATTTTTCTGAAATTGTTCGAAAGATATCGAGCATGAAGGTTTTTCATATATTTTAAAATCCTTTTCCAAATGTGCCATAACATAATGCGAAGCACGTCAAGTGGTTTACGTCTTTTACATTAAATACAATTTTTATGTGAATCCCGGCAGCATGGATGACAGATTTTCATTCATTATACATGCGAAAAACAGAGAAGGTGTGTCACCGAGAAATTAATTTCTTTTCATGTAGGTGTGTATGTTCCCGATGCAATCGTCACAATTCCGTGAATACCGTGAACATGTGAATACCATAATTTTCTATCAGTGACGCACCATTCTTTATGCAATACTCACTCGCAATGATCGTTCGATAATTCTATCATGTCCTTAGCGATTGAAAGGAAATGGAAAATATCGACAATGCTGTCGTTCGCTACATGCTGTAGAACGAAAATTGCGTTATATATTGCTAAATAAATTTTTAGTACAGAGACTCTCTAATTCATCTCTAACTTTCAATGATTTTGATACTAGGCAATTGTTACTGTTTAGAAGTTAAAAAGTACATGTATAATTTGAATTAAAGGATTAATATTTTGATATGAAATTTTAAAACTGTTGCTACATCTGCCTGCAAGGATTTTAAAACAATTTTTTCCTACATTTTTGTTAAGGAAGAATTAGCTCCACACAAAGTTACAGAATCTTTGAATAAACTTTATTATTTGCGTTTATGTGGAATATAAATTTATTATAATAAAGGCCTTTTTACATTGATTATTAAAACCTATAATTACATATATATAGCCAAACGATAAATTTTTTATAATGATCAAGATAAAGAAATATGAATGAAAAATTCCTGGAATAAAGTTTGCTATTGCAAGTAACAGCTACGGATCAAAAAGATATGTTGAGTTTTCTATGGAATAATTGGCCGTACAGTTTCCGTGTTGCGACTTTAAAATAAAGGGGGCAGCCATATGATATAAAAGAGACCATAAAAGAGGTAGCCATATGATATAAAAGTCTATGCCATGCACAAGAAATTTAAAAGTGATTGATTTACAGTTTTCAAAAAATCGCTATTTTCATAGAGATCCTAACAAATATAATTATAGTCATCATACAGGTTTGTAACACAAAGGAAAATGATGTATTATATTACAATCCGTAGAAGTAAAGGATGTAATAGAACATAAAAATTTTAAAGATAAAATAATGAAATTTAAACTACATTTTTTAATATATAGCTTTGGATTTTGTCATTCTGTTAGAAAATACGCAAAGTGAAAGATACGTAATTTATATCCTAATATTATTCTCCCAATTTTTGAAGATTATGCAGAAAAATTAATTACGTAAAAGAATTAATTACGTAAATGTGAATCATTGATCCCTCAGTTTGCACTTGTGTATTTGCATCTCGGAATATCAAATAGCTTAAAATGGATTCTAAACGGTTGATCATCATGATGTTTAATACCATCTGTTCGATTATTATGCAATGTTAATATTTGGATTTAATACTTGAATAGCGAATAATCCTCTTCTGTTATCTTAAATACTACTTAAATCAGTTGTCTGTTTTGTTGCAAATTGCTTCTTATATATTCCTCTTTCAAATAACGACAGGATTGAATTTAGAACTGATCTTACTGGTTATAGACGCAGGTATGATTTTTAGAAATTGTTTGATATTTTTGAAAGATTAAGTCTTACCAATATGATGTTTTCGTCACAATATAGCTAAAACATAAAAATAGCAAGTTATCTTGAAAATAGCTATGCAATGACATTTGCATAGATAAGTAATAATGCACTGCTTCGGGATCGATAAAAAAATAGGTTAAAGGACAAGCAAGATGTTGATCATGTAGCAACATCGTGCAGATACTTCAAAGAGCCATATTTTAAGTTATTATAAATAAATGGAAAAAATTTGAAAGTAAACTTTGTGAACAAATAATGAATGTCCTTGAGTACATTGCATTTAGCAATTTAAACTTTTTTCAAACTTACTCTCTTTTTCACATGCATATATACCTACAAATGTAATCCACAATGATTGATATTATTTTTTTTTGTTTTCTAAAAATATTAATTTATTATAACATTTTTATATATTTGTATATTTTTTTTTATTTTGGAAGGGATTATACATATCAATTTGTGTAGCATTTCGTCGGAATGTTTGATAGTGAATAAGATATGTTCCGCTACTGAAATAATAGTAGAGAGACCGATAAGAAAAATATTCAGGTTTAATTCAATGCGTGTTATTTCTTCGCCGCGTCGTAAATCAACATAGCTAACGCATTCAATTCTGTAGAGCCATTGTAACGTAGAGCCATTGTATGTTGGCATCATGAAAAGCAGTTCTCGTTAGTTTCTAAAAACACGCATTTCATCTCACTTTCAATTTAATTTACATACGGCAATTTACAACCAATTATCAATTCAAATATTTTCTATAATTGAAGTGCGATAATTTGATAGCAATAGGCGGGTTTAAAAAATTACAATTAACATTAGCAACATAACTTTAAATAAATTTATTATATTACAACTTGTATAATAACATAAATAGACATAAATAGACATAAATTTTTTATTTTGTCTATCTTAAATTTTCAATTGCTCGAAAATAATAATAAATATTATTTAATGAAAAAATTAGAGAAAATTTTCTGAAATATAAAATGCCCGAACAAATTGTTATTCTGTTTTCGAACATTTTAGCGTAGCTAAAATAATTTGTCACGATAACTTTGAAATTTATAACAAGCTTTCATGCGCGCTAACGAGACTAATAATTTTGCATATAGAATGACACGAAAATAATAATTTAACAGATAAAAAATAACAAACAAAAAATAACGGAAGTAAAACGATTTGTATCAATGTTATTTTGATCTTTGACTATATAAAGATTTTTTAACAAAGTAATGTTGCTTAAGAAATATCCGTGAATTGAAATATTTGAATGTAGGCAATTAAAAGATTTATTTGAAATTTATTGCGGATATGTAAAATTAATAAAGATAACTTTTTTAAAAATATAAAAAATGCAAAAATCAATTGTATTTTAATATAAAAATTATATTTCTGAAAAATAATACATTATTAAATAATATCTGTAGAGTAGAATTGGAAAAGGAGGTCTTATTAATACAACGTTGATACATGGAAACGAATCATGTTTATTTTATAATATATACAGAATTTTGTTCATATTATAATAGTAGTATTTCGGAAAGAGTGTGAAATGTTATCATCAATATGTAAGACGTATATTCATATAATTACATTATTAAGTACATCTGAATATTACAAATAACATCGAACTTTTTCTTTACACTTTTTTCAGTCTCATTTACGAGTAAGAAAATAATATCTTTCAAAAGGAGACGAGTAGAATATTATGTTTATTAACATATTATATTATTGGCATTTAACGATCGTACAACCAGAACTGCGTTATAATTTGTTAATTGCTCATAACAAAGCTCGTTGTAATGTATGAAGACGGTAATATTATGATATTATCTATAACGTTGTTCTCTTCGTAATGTATAATTAAACTAGAATTTAGATTATAGCAACATCCTCTTTAGTCTGGAGTCCCTCGCATGTTGTTTTAGTATTCATTTTAAAGGTCTGTACCTGACTTTCGGCCACGCTTTGTCTCCATCTGACAGATGTAGATCTAAAACGACCTGGAAACAAAGCAAAATGCGCAACTTCAAATGTTTGCCATTGTTATTTACTCTTTGCTGACTTATTGGAACATGCTTTATGGAAAATTCCTTTTCTTACTGAATATAAATTCGCATTGAAACATTGTCTTATTTGAATTTTAATTTTGCATTGTCTGGATTTATTAATTACTGTATTACGATCGAAGTAAATGAATTTATAATATTATTCACGCACATTACATGTAATTTTTTTGACAACAATATATTTGCAATAGTAGAATTACTTTCCGAATTGCATTCTCTCTGATTAATTTGAACCGTAAATTACGATTGAAATAGAAAACGACAAATTGATGCACAAATTGATTCACACCTGGTCGTTCTATTTCAAGCCCATTTTAAATTTAAAAGCTTTTCAAAAAATCTTTTCTGGTTTTTATAAATATAAAGAAAAATAATAAAATCTTAAATTGAGTCTGTCATGCAATATAAATTAGAAAATTAGAATATGTATACAAAAATTAATTCATCATTTTGACGTATTGGCATACCGCCAATAATTATTAATTATTAATTAGTAAATATTAAATAATGTCCATAATTATTGTATACAAACGCATTATTCCGCCTATATTGTTCTTTGATTATATTGTGCCTTATATTACAAATATATTGTATATAATCTATAGTCTTTGTTATTTATCTCATAATATATGCTATTTTAGATTAAACTGTCAAGCAGGATTGATGAGTCTCTTTAGAAAGCTGAACATATTGTTGCGCGCTTTGTATAACTTACGTGAAGACAATTTTACATTGAGAATAATGATAAGATTAGATTAAACAATATGTCCTTGCCTAGAGGCTGAAATTCCGCGGATAGTTGACATAAAATATAACGTGGCGACTTAAAACTCAACGGTACCTCTGAGGTTTTACGATAACATTCTTCAACATATATATATATTTGTCGCATCATACGCTAAATAAAGTATGTGAAATACTTGCTCGCAGTAAGTATTAAAAAAGGATCATCTTTTGTTATATAATGAAAGGTTTCATGCATGAAAAGGGGACAGGAAAGAAAATAAATTATATCCCATATTCAGGACGCGTTTATAACGAAGTTGGCGCGCTAACAAGTCTTGAGATTCTACAGTATGTATGTGTAACGTAAACTATAACATAAACTATACGCTAAAAGAGCGTTAACGCTCGTTATAAGCGTCGTTCTGAAACCTACATATGTATTAAATATTATATAAACATTAAATGCTTCGTTTTATTAAAATCATTTAAATAGTTTAATAAGAATTTAAATAAGCATAGATATTAAAGCGTGATATTAAAGATGAATAAAGAGCGACAGCCTCTAGGAATATAAAACGATTAATCGGTATACGCACAACTATCGTTGGATTTTATTTTTGTCTAATTACTTTTTGAACATATACGATATTGAATTTTAAAGACAAAAATTTTTTCATTTTGCACAATTTTTAAAGCTGTACAGAATATTAAGAAGAATGTCTTTAGAAATATTATAAATTAAATCTTATTTTTGCAAAATAACGTAATTAATGTTTACGAAAAGATTTCTTTTTATGTGAATATATATCTTCAAAGTTTTGCATATGAATATATTTTTTTCAAATTTTAATTATTCAATTTTACAATATTGAATTTTATTTATTATCGTAGATATACATTACTTTATTTATTACTATTTAAAAATTATATACGAGAAAATAGAAGAAAATGTTCTTTTGATTTTAAAGTTCAAATGTCATATCTTCAAAGGCTTGAATACAGTTGAAAAATGTTATTCATATATATCTATATGTCTATCTTATATGTATACCTAATGTATGTACATCCGCAAAGTTCCATTGATAAATTTGCGTCGGCGACACTGCTTTGTAAGGCACGTGTGTAATAAGCAGAAATTAAATAAAAGTCTTTTGATATGAAATACTTCAGTTTTGACGAGATAAAAATAAACTGATATAGAAAAGCTTTTGCAGCTATTGAACGAAGTATCTGGCGTATCCATTTGGACGAGATACTGGGTGAATCGATATTGTCTGTCGTGTGACATTTGGAAATAATTCAGCGATTGATTCAGCTTTTTGATTCGTTAGACGCGATTTCTAGTCGAGCGAATTATATCAATGAATTATTATTAATAAAATATGATTTAATATGTTCAGGCAGCAGACTTAATTATACAAGAGAGTACGAAAAATCTCCCGAAAAATTTTATTGAAAGCAAAAATATACATTTAAATATAATTTTTTTCTACAACAAGTCATGAAATAAACGATTCGTTTATCTTTATGTACACAAAAGGATTACATATAATTGTAAAAAGAAACTGCGACAAAATATTATCGGTCATTTGCAACTAATTGTAAGTAAAAATTATACTTACCCGAATTGCATGGTATTAGTTCTGAGCGCTGGAATCCCGCTAATTCTTGCGTTTCATGGGTTTGTACGTTTGTCCGATCTACCATGCAGCAGCATTTGCAGATTACCAATTCAAAGTAAACTCGAAACCTGTAACAGTTAATGCGTTCGATGACGCGTATACTGCATTTGTAAATAACACTCTGTACAGCCAGTTAGCCAAATCACATTGCATTTAAGTAAATTATCTTTAAGACAATGCGCTCGCATACACTAGTGAAATTTAAATTAAGTTGAAGGAAACGATCGCAAGTAAAATTAGTACTTCGAGCTCGAGATCAAGTTATGATATCCCCAAAAACTTTTGGCCCTAAAAATGGAATCAATTAAAACTTTTTAAGTAAAATCACATGTAAGTAATCCATATAGAAGCTTATGTATGACGCTATCTTCGATCATTCTTTATACCTACTATTTGCAACAAGATTGATAGCTACATAAATTTTTTATTTTTATTATTTTGCTTTTTTTACATATTTTATCTCTTTATATTATTACAATTACTTCTAATAAAGTAAAGTAATAGTAGAGTTAGTTTTATAGTACAAATTAGTAACGAATATAAATATATATTTCTATTATATGGATATCTTATATTGGTATTAAATGTAATTGGTTATAGAAGTTATTGATATATAGAAAATTAAAATTCTCAAAGCTGTTTTTTAAATAAATCTTTTTATTTATTTCTTATTACAGAAATGTCTAGAGCATATTATTTTGGTTTGAATTATTGATATGACATGAACAGTAGCGCGTAAAATATATCGGCTTTTATTGACATAATCCTGGTAAATGTCTTGCTTTCTTATTCGATTTGCTGACCAAAATCCGAGAAAACAGCTTGGTTAATACTCTTAGAGAGATATGGCAAAAAGTTCTACTTTTCTTCACAAAATAATAAATGACACTTTTTGAAGCTATGTAGATCAAAACTATATAGACGTACTGTACAGATTTGTAATACAAATTATAAAAGCAAATTATTCTTTTAAAATCTGATCTTGTTGGTTCCCCCAATTTTTTCAAAAAATATGACGTATTTTTAAATTTGATTTTGAAAAGTTTTATTCCAAATTAACTGAAAAAATAGAAAATATTATATGTATGTTAAAGAATAATTGTTAATGAATAGTGTTGTTGCTTGAAAATATCACTGATTAAATCCTTAAGAAAAAGCGTTTATTTTATCAAGAAAACAAATTCTTAACATTTAATTAATAGAGAGTAATATAAAATAGCATTCTTTTTTTCTTATCTACAATTCAAAGAACTATCTAGACATGTTTAATGGCAAAAGTCTTTCACAACTTCTGAAATAACCGAGTATTATAAATGTTTCTTTTGAAGTTTGAGCGTTTAATCAAAGATATCTCAAAGGCAGTTCCCTCACCCATATAACACTATTAAATCTATTGATCATTAATTTTTTCTATCTTTTGAAACACAGAGAAAAACACAAATAGAAAACAATAATTGATAAAATGAAATTAATAGAAATACTTTTCAGTTATTAATTATGTAAATAAAGCAAATATATATGTTTTAAGAATATAAAAAACTTAAGTATATAATGTTTTATTATTATATAAATTAATTTTTAAAATAACATTTTGTCTTGCAAATATAAATATTGTATATTGCCGAAATTTTGATATTACTTAATAATTATTTGTGTGAGATTTAAACTTTAATAAATCAGTTATTTGTTATGTAGTTTAAAAATATTATTGTGATACGATTAAATATTATTAAAATATTAGAATTAGCATATAAAATTATTCTTGCCTTTTTCCAGCTAGATAAAAATAAAATTTAAAATTATTATAAAGAGAAAGACAAACAGTTGAGCAAGACTTATAATATTACATATTTTATTTCTTTTCGATTGTTTTCGCAAATTTAAAGATTTATATTATTCACTTACGTATATGAATTCGTGCATTTAGTAGTATGCAGACTATTTAATTCAGTCAGACAGTGAATGTAAAACATGCAGAAAATATGCAATTGATACATTTTCGAATAATGACATTTTATTATGCCAACGCCAACGATGTCCATTTGTGATTGTTATGCGATTGCGTTATATCATTTTAATAGAATGATAATTGAGTTCATGTACAAATCTCCGGTGTGCATTGTGGCAACTGTGCAGGAGTTCTTGGACATACAACGGAGAATGCAAATATTGTGTCCGATATTATTGTGCTTTCGTAGTAGAAGATGGCATATCTCGAATTTAATCAATTTACCTCTGTGACACAAGATGCTAAGTCTTAGAAATGTGTATTTATGGATAGTTCATTGAAATGGGTTTCTCCATTGTCAAACTAAATCAACTGGACATAACAAAATATATAGATATTACTTTAAAGAAGAAATTTTAGAAGAATACAATTTTAAGTTACATTTAAATTAAGAATTAAGAATTAATTTTAATATAAATTTAAAATTAAACTGAACGTTAAGATAATCAAGGTGTTATTACGATAATTAATATATTTTTTTACTAAATTTTTTATAAGAAAATATCGCTTTCAGTTTTATAAAATGCGCTTTTAAAAAAAAAATTTTTTTAATTATTTTTATTAAAACCTTTTTAAATTCATTTAGAATATAATATTCAGTTTTTTAAAACAAAATCTTTCAGAACTTTATTTTAGAAACAAATTTACATAATAATAAAAAGCGTATATTAAAATTTTTGCATTTTTAATATTTATTTTATTTAAACAATTATATTAATTTCACGAAAATTATATATATTTGTATTTTGTTAGTTTTGTAATGCTTGTATGTTATCAATTGAAATATCATAGGCTGATAGGAATCGGCGCTGTAATTGTTTGTATATTATCAAAATATTAATAAATATTTTTAATTTTTCTCCGACAAGAGATAGAATAAATTTTATTGTATTATTAGAAAGTTCAATATTTTCACTTCTGTTTCCGTTTCTGTTTCTGTTGATTGGTCACAACTGTATTAGATGTAATATAATTACCGTAATACGCGTTAAATATAGATAATTATTTGTGACGTGACAGAAGATTGTCGGATGTCTGAACACTAATAGGGTCGTCTAAGGATGTAAGTGATAGCAGACGGTAATAACAAGATTTCTTCTCGGTGCGGTGAAAAGTATCTGATGGCTTCTCACGTTGCGTCTGTCAGCATCGATCAATTTTCAAAGTGAAGGAACTTAGAAGATGGAACATCGGCGGAGTTAGACAGCTGAGAATCGATATGCGAATGTAGAAATGTATAATTAGAACGTAAACTGAAACTCTCTGTGGTTAACCGAGGGATCGATGCTCTCGCATTATGGATTAGTGAATGCCCTTACGAAACCGCCGACTGACTCATCCTATTAAAATTTTACATAAGCTTATAATCATTACAAATTGTATTTAGAACAACAACACAAGGTACGATAATTATTTTATCAGAGAATTTTTAGGCAATCTTAAATTACCTAGGAAAGATTATTATTATTATTATAAACATTATTATTATTATAAAGATATTTCCCTTTTCTTAGAGAAAACGATTAATTTATAATTTATGCATATTTCAAAATAATAAATCGTAACAATGAAATCATTTAATTCTACGCAAAAGTTTTTGATGAAGTTTTAAGATGGAGGATTATGTTTTTGACAACGTTAATCTCGAGATTCGTCTCTATCCCTTTAAATTGTCGAAGTCGCTTTATATAATCCCGGGAGTTGTCCAATTTTTCAAAGTATTATATTTGATCGAATATTACAAGGATTTATATAAGTCGTTTAATGCATGAGCATAAAATTCAATCAGTATAGTGCTAACGTAAAAACTCGTCCAGCGCACACTTTTTTTGTCATACGCTGTTAATCTCATGGCTCTATTATATTTTATTCCTGATGATTAATCACGATTTTTTCCGCATTTATTATTTTTAAAATAAAATAAATTGATTGATTTCTGTATTTTTTAGGAAATTATTATAAAAATATTATGCATTATCGGATGTGTTTGGATAATATAAAAATTTTTATTTATATTAATTCTTTTTTAATTGCTAATCTTCGATTTAGCAATTATGAACAGATTTTTAAATCTGTTTTAAGCTAATTTTAGACTATTTATAATTTGTGTCAGAATTTAGAATGGAATGTTACTTATAATTTTATATATATTGCGCAACATATAAAAAATATTTTTAAAAATAAAACACACGCATATATAAAACACATATTAAAATATATACATACATTAAAATACATATAAAAATGAAATATCATGAATTACATATTGTCTAAAATAAATTAAATAAAAAAATTGAGAAAAATCTGTTTTTTTATGAAAAAAATGATAACATTTTTTTATAAAAATATCCTTTTTAACGATCTATACATAAAAATAAATAATGCAATAAGTACCTGTTATTCATCCAGTAATAGATGATCGGATTTACCATAGAGTTGGACATAGCCAACCAGTAAAAACTTAAATACACGTGTTGCACATAACTGTTTTCTGTAAAATGACGATAATGGTATACGAAGATGAAAAATCCCTGATATGGCAACCAGCATACTGCAAATATTGTCACCACAATAATAAACATTTTTACAACCTGCAACAAAAAAGAAGAAAAATATTTTTAAAAAAGTTAATTATATTACACTCTTTTAACACAATGGACATTTTGAAATTAGAGATAAATTGAATACGCATTACTTGAAATTTCCCCCAAAAATGTTATTGTATATTAGAGAGGAGGTTATCAAGTTTTAATAAAATTTGACAAATAATGCGATTTTTGCATTTGCAAAGACAATGATTGCAAAAAGCATTAGTCGCAATTAATCGCACCTAATTTCGTAATTTATATTCAACAATGCTACACTGTAGTATGCTCTGTTAACTAATAGTATTAGAAGTATAAGGAGTACTTAATAGTAATCTATTGTTTTGAAGTTTACGATGTAATGTTCATGTTGTTTGTAAGTAATTGCTAGTTTGACATGGCAAAGACAGTAAAGTCTGATGCAAAACAAACATATAAATAAGTAGCTTGTAATACTTACATTACTGAAAATATCTTTTGATATTTAAACAGATTATCGTAAAAATATCTGATTTGCATGCAAATGAAGTCTAGGCTAAAATTGTGAACCATTTTATAATCATAATGCGACGATGACCTACTTCATAGCAGTAAGTTTTCAGATTTTCAGATAATTCAAGTAGGAGGACTTATCTACTTTATTTTTCTTTTATTTTCGTAAAACTTTAAACGTGAAGATTTTCTTGATTTTTATTTACAGCTATTTTTCAGAAACTTTTGATACATTTTCGTCTTTTCGACGAATTTTGAAAGTTTTGTGGAATATAGTAATATAGAAAATATAGAATATAGAAAAAAAACATTTATATTTAAATTTCAAAACATTGCAGTTTATTTATTCATATTGCGCATTGCTTACGTCAACGCAGTGTAAAATATTATTTTGATGATAATATGGGATTTAACGTACCTTGCGCTTAGATTTCATTGATTCTCTCTGGTAATGAGTAAGTTCACCAATAGATTTCGAACCCCATAACTTTCGTCCCATGCACGTGTAACAAACAGCCATCACTGACATGGGAATCAGGTACGTTACAGTGAGAAATAGGAGATTGTAGCTGTAGAATAAATGATTTATGTAAAACCATAAAGAATATGCGGAGAGACTTACTAGACCAAGTTTTATTAAAACCGTAACTCGTTTCATAAGATACACGTGGTTAGACGATTACTCAAGAAAGAAGGCGGGAAATCCATTTTTATTAATTGCGGCATGTGTCTGAGTTTAAAATACAATATAGCACAGTATAATAATCGTAAAGTATTATATTTACTTTGAATTAGTATTGTATGCATTGTGTATGGTATATTTGATAACGAAGAATTCAAATTAGGTGATTAATCGTAGCGATAGTAATTAAAAACTTGGGGGTAAGAATCAAGGCAGTTTATTTAAAAGAAATGAATTATAATTTAATATTCAGTTATTTGAATGATAATTTTTTCCAACTCAAGAGATGAGACATGAGCGTATAAGTTTTATTGAAAACATTTTAGTAAACCGTATAATCATGGCATTCAATGTAACAAGATTGAAATAAATGCTACATTAGTCAATTTCATTATTTCTTGCTCGAAATATTACGAAAATTATACTCCGACATAACACAATTTCGATCTTGTTCTATCAAACATTTTCGATTGGGGTTTCAATTTCGTGTCCCAAGAGTAGACGTGGCAATCACAATCGTCAGATAAGTTAAATTGCACGTAAGAGGACCATTCTCCGAGATTACTTGGGATTTGTGATATAGATAGAATCTACGCAAAACTTGAATTCCATTTTCGCGTATACAGAACTATATGTCACTCCCCGGTGAGTTTGAGTGTTTTAAATTATCCTATTGCACGCTATCAGATCCAGCGATACTGTTACATCCGTTGTTAAATAAGCTTAACTTGGAGCTACTTCGTAGATACGTAGAAATAGGGGAGTATTCTCTCTCTGTAAACTTCGGTGTTGCGCGATGTTCTTCGTAAAAGGAGAGTCCTATACCGCAGCTAACGACAGTAAGTTTCTGGACTATTCGCCAAATGAAAACCTTGGGTATATATCTAAAGTTCTACCCACGTGATGTATACGAAATGTTGTTCGGAATGACTAAGATTTATAGAGATATTTAATTAGAAATTGATATAATAAGTTTCGATATAATAAGTTAGACGGTGAAACTTATGATCATTGTGGTCACTCTGGACATTAAAAAGATTATTAAATCGAAAATATTAAATAAATAATTAAAAGTTTTTTTTAGTCAATAGAATGATTTTGATTTTATATATTTATCAAGAAAATGCTAAAGTAAAATTAAAATAAAAAAATATGTATATTGTATATATAAGTTGGTTTCATTATATGTAGTTGAAAGTTTTCTCTTTTGCAGTTTTAAGAAAATAATTTATATTTTCTACACAATATCCCTTGTGCCAATTTAAACTTTTCTTTACAAAGTAGAAAAATCTCGAATTTTATTTTCTAAATTGAATTCATCTTATTTACCGTTTTCTATCCGTGCAGAAAAGGGAAGCTAAACGTATTTAATATTGACTTTTCACATCCAATACCAGTTTCGTGTTTCCAGCTTTTCTATTTTTTAGTTTGAAAATACGTACAACATACATACTGCAAATCGACTTTACTAACAATAAGTTTTGAAACACGTTATCTTATACATAACAATTTAACTGTTTTAGTATCGAATCGTTATTTATTTATAAGAATTCTAGAAGAATATTTATAAGAATAGATTTACATTTAGTATATTTTGTTATACATGGTCTGTCCCAAAAGTATAAATGAGACTATTTTTGGGGGCCTAATCAGAATTGTCGGGAAGTGGATCTATTGGACAGGGCCTTTGATGCGGAATGTTAGGTGTATACCTAACATTCAACATACAATCTGGCCCTTCTCAGTTGTCTCCGAGCCTTTCTAGCAGTCGATACCGTCGGCAAAGTGCGTTGTAATTTTGGTGTCTTGTCACGGGCAAAAATTCAGCACAGACTGTGCTGTATTTTGAACAGACTTACGCGATCAAATTCTGAAGACAAAG